TTGGCTTGCTTGGATTTATTGAGGATTGTGGATTTTGGGATTGTTTTGCCTTTCTCTCGGAATATTTGGTTGGTGTAAGAAGAAAGAGGAATAAAGAAAAGAAAAGATTTATTTATAATGGCTTTCCTTTTTGAAGACCTGAGGGATGAATATGAGCAAATAAAAGCAATCTGCAAAGATGGCATGGAAAAAGCTTTTCTATTCCTAGAAATGGCGCTGGTCAATTACCAACAGACAATGGAACAGATGGAAACGGAAGAAGAACAACAAGGAAGAGACGAGGACGCCATCTTCATTGAATCCCAAAACTTATCTAAGGAAGAAGGAAGGAAGAGAGCAAGGAAAATGAAGGACTTAAGATCTAAAAAAACATTTGAGAAAGAGAAAAATATGATGCAAAGTAAATATAATGATAACAAACAAGAGAAAAAGGGAACGCAACAGAGAAGGGATCCCAGCAAGGCAGAGGTTAGAAGAAGAAGGGGGGGTAGGAAGATTTGGTGGGGGAAGAAAGAAAGGGGAAAGGCGGAGAAAAGCCTCAAAGCTTTAAAATTGGATGGGAGAAGAGGGATTTTTTTTAGAGACAAAGGATGAAACATAATTTTCTGTAAGAAAGATTCTGCTAAGGTACAGAAGATGGTATTGTAACATTTATATTTGAAATAGTAAATTAGAATGCTTTAAGATTTAATAAGAAATTAAAATGTTGAAGTTTTTATTAATGATTGATTTTTAAAATGTAATAAAATATCGAAGGAAAGGAGGATACAATGTATTTAAACATTTTTGGGGGATAGAATGTACCAAGCAGAACCAAATTGGGTATTTGTTATGTTGAATGTTAATTTTACTAACTTAGGGGGAGGATAGAAAGGCATCATACTCTGATTAGTGATTTCAGGAGAAATTTTTCTTTTATTATAAGAAGAGATAGAGGGATAAATGAATGGGCAAAAGATACAAATTTAATGATTTAATTAAGATGGATTAAATAAGATAGAAATGTGAAGAGTGATATGTGCTATTATTTTAGCCCATGCAAAGAGAGGTAACTGGGGCCAAGGTACTTTACTAAAAGATTTTTTTTATGTTTGTTTGTGTTTGTTTGTGTTTTATGAGAATATTGGGGAAATTATTGTAGAAAAACAGGGAAAGATTCAATATGTAATGATTTGTTTGTTGTTGAAACTTTTAATAAAACTTGTTTAAAAAAAAAAAAAAAGCTAGGAAAATGCTTCCAAAGGCTTTCTTTAAAATGGCTGAAGAACTAGGCATCCAAGATGTATGGTGAGAGATACATTCTAAGGAAAATTGATACTCATTCTACTCAAATAGGCATATATCCTGGTCAAGAATAGATATGATATGGATGACAGCTGAATTGAAATCTAACATACAAGAACTGAACATAGAAACAAGTAACTGGGCAGACCATAACCCAATAAAAGTCAAATGGAAAGGACAAAAAAGAAAATTAAGATGGATGTTTGAACAAAATCAATATTAAAAGACAAGGGATTTATTCAATTTATGGAAAAAGAATTAGACTTTTTCTTTAAAGAGAATAGGAAAGAAGAGACCTCGTTACAAAATGTATGGGATACTGCTAAGGCATGTATTACAGGCGTAGTCATAACCTATATGGGAAAGAAAAATAAGAAGAAACAAAACCAAAAGACATTAGAAGATGAATACAACAGACTAGAGATAGAATTACAAAAAGAACCACAAAAAAGAACCTAAAAAATAAAAGGGAATTAATAAAACATAAGTTAAATATAATAGATAAAGAATAATTAGCGCAAAAAAATAAAAATGCTAAACAATTTTTTTCAAAAATGCAAATAAACCAGGAAGATGGTTGGCATATAAACTGAAAAAGCAGAAAGAAAAAAATTGATATATCAAATTAAAGGATGTGCAAGGAAACCTTTATCATCAAAATGATGATAAAAAGAAAGTGATTCTAAACTACTATGGAAAACTATATGACCAAGAGACAGTTTCAGAAGATAAAACAATACTTTAAAAAAGCGGAATTACCTAAAATACCAGAAACAGTAAAAGTTATGTTAGAGGAACGTATAACAATGATGGAATTAACAGAAGCAATCAAAAGACAAAAGAATGGTAAAACGCCAGGCCCAGATGGTCTACCAGCAGAACTTTATAAAAGTTTACAAAACATTCTAAGTATACCAATGTTGGAAGTGTTCAATGAAGTATTGTTAGAAGTGAAAGTACCAAAGTCATGGACAGAAGCATACATTACCCTCATACCAAAGGAGGACTCAGACTTACAACAGATAAAAAATTACAGACCGATATCTTTATTGAATGCAGATTATAAAATATATGCTTCAATAATTGCAGAAAGACTTAAAAGATTTTTAAATCAATTTATACACCCAAATCAAAATGGTTTTTTACCTAAGAGACAAATCAAAGACAATATGAGAATAATCTTAAATACGCTAGAGTACTACGAAGCACATCCAGGGAAGCAAATGGCATTGATCTTCCTAGGCGCAGAGAAAGCATTTGACAATGTGAACTGGCAATTCATGCTAGCACAGCTAAAAGACATGGATTTTGGGGAGAGATTATTAATGTGATTAAGGTGATAGATTACAAGTAAACAGCAAAGATGATGGTAAATGGAGATATGACAGAGAAGGTTGTTATTAAAAAAGGTACAAGACCAGGATGTCCCCTGTCTCCCCTATTATTTATATTGACACTGGAAGAATTAAATAGAAATACTAGACAAGATATAGAGATAAAAGGTATGGAAATAAAAAAATAAAAAAATAAACTACAGGTATTTGCAGATGATTTATTTTTCATTTTGGAAGATCCACAAGAAACAGGGCCTAAACTAATAGAGGAATATGACAAAATGGCAGGATTGAAAATAAAGAAAGAAAAAACTAAGATATTAGTTAAAAATCTTACAGATATACAGAAAAATGAGTTAACAAAGAGAACAGATATTCAGACTACTAAGAAAGTAAAATACTTAGGGATTTATTTGACAGCAAGATGTGTAACTATTAAGACAATTATTATAAATTGATACAACAAATTAAAACAGATTTGGAGAAATGGAAAAACCTGCAATTATCATTGATAGGAAGGATAGCTACAATAAAAATGAAAATATTGCCGAAACTATTATATCTATTTCAAACAATCCCGATAAAATTGGGGAAAAAATATTTTGAGGAACTCAATCAAATAATATTAAGATATATTTGGCAAGGGAAAAAAAGCAAAAATAAGCCTAAAAATGTTGCAGGATTCGAGAAATAGAGGCGGCTTTGGTTTACCGAATTGGGAATTGTATTACCAGGCTGCGGTACTTACTTGGGTGAAAGAATAGATTGTATTGAGGAACAAAAGACTATTGACCTTGGAGGGACATGTTTTGCAATTGGGCTGGCATGCCTTCTTGTGGTATGGGAAAAATATAATACATGGTTACTTTCAAAGACATTATATTAGGAATGCATTATTGTTCGTGTGGGAGAAAGTCAGAGAACAACACTATTTGAAGATACCAGTCTGGCTTTCAACAATGGAAGCACTGGTTCACCCAAGTGTTATTAACATTTCCCCAGATGTGCCAATATGACACGCCTAATAAATTGATACTTTGAGGAACATGCCTGCCTTGGAGTTTTGATTCTGTTGGGTGTGTTACTTGGAACCCTGACAATTTCTAGTTTTTAAATCTTGTTAACAATTTACAAACCGTCCGGTGTTGCTGATAGCCAGACAGCTTACCAATGTAGTAAATTATTACCCCCATTTTAAATTCTCATTATGGTACTTTTATGTATGGTTTATAGTATGATGGAAGGGCCACAACTATAATTATTGTAACTCAAGACACAAAAATCCAAAGACTGGTAAAAAGAATGTGAGATGGAAAAGCTGTACCCACCAATGAAAGCTACAATATATTGATAGTCAAATTCATGGCTGTTAACTCAACAGCAAGCCTTACAGAGACTGGTGAGACATGTTTTGAGGAGACATAGATGAGACACTAGGGGAGGCCACTAAAGGTAGATGTGCAATGAACCAACTGATGAGTAGGGCTGCTTATGCTCTCTATTACTGACCTGCCCATGGTTCAAACTGCCATGGAAGAAACAAAAATCTGCTACCAGAGAGAGATCACAACTGTTTGCTTTAGAAGATTTTTTAAATTATGCAAGCTGCCTATCCTTGTTGTAAAAATGAGCAAATCAAGGTGACTTAAGCAAAGAGGAGCCTACCCTGCATGGCCTTATACTGCATGGGTGTAATGTGCTCAAAACCTGGAGGAGGGACATCCCAATACTTGCGAATTTTCTTCTTCTTCTCATGCCGAGGAGAACGGCTGTAGTAGGGAGCAAGAGTAAAAGGTTAATAGGAAGAAAGGAAAAAAACATATTTAATTTACTGTAGTCTTAAAATTAAAATGAATTCCTACTCAAGTCTATGCTTATTCCAGTTGGGATATTCCAGAATATCCAGGGCCAATATTTTAAATGCAACAACCCCTACAATGAATTCCAATTCCTGCATTGTTTCCCTTAAATTTAGGTGTTTTTTTTAGTGAAGTCTATGGGTTTTCATTGCCCCTGCCAGCACCAGGAAGAACTGGCAATGCTCACCTTAGAGAACCTGACAGGCTTAGAGGAGATCTGAAAAACAAAAACAAAATGGGTTTGTGTCCTTTGCTGTTTAAAGCAACCCCAGAAAAACATTCACAAAGATTTAATAACAATTATTAATTTAATAACTTTGTCAATCTTGCATCCATGAGCAGAGGTGCAACCAAGGTAGACAAAAGAGCAGCCTAAGAAAAAAAGTTCCAGAAAAAACTGTATTCATTTATTATTGTGGTATATGACATTTCCAACTGGGTTTAAAAAGTGCCCAGGCACGAATACCTAGGTCAGTGATGGCGAACCTTTTCGGCACCGAGTGCCCAAACTGCAACCCCAAACCCACTTATTTATTGTGAAGTGCCAACATGCAGGGTGAGATCCAACCGGTGTTACAACCGGTATGGTGAGCGTGCTTTTTGCGCACAGCCATGTGCGTGGCCACGCCTGATGTGCACTGTGTGCACATGTACAGTGTTTGCAAGAAATCATCAGCTGTGCTGCCCAGACAGCTGACAAGCACTGCGCATGCATGCACAGCATTTGAAAATCCTCTTCTTTCCTGCTTTTTCAACCTCAGCTGTGCTGTGGTGCTGTGCAAAGCAACTAAGGTTGAAAAAGCAGGAAATAAAGGACAGCCAAGAGCCCAGGTGGGCGGGTGGGCCAAAACAGAAGCCGAGAAGATCAGCAGAGAGAGAACTGGTTCTCTCTCTGATCTTCCCAACTACCACCTTGGCAGAACCCCACCCCTGACAACAAGGAAATTTAACCTGAATAATGTTTTAGTTTAGAAAAAACTCATGCGTGATCAATGTCTTTTCTCGGGAAAAAAAACCCCACAATAACAGTGCTTTCAATGATACAAATAACTTTTTATTGAAGTTAAAAGTTTGCATTTGGTATGCTTTTGATTAATGTGACTTTTGCTCTTGTATGCATGCTGAACAGTAGTGGGAATTCAAATTTTTTTTACTACTGGTTCTGTGGGCGTGGCTTGGTGGGTGTGGCAGGGGGAGGATACTGTAAAATCTCCAGTCAGAGGTGGTATTTGCCGGTTCTCTGAACTACTCAAAATTTCCGCTAACAGTTCTCCAGAATTGGTCAGAACCTGCTGAATACCACCTCTGATGCTGATAATTTTTCTATCCTTGGTTCATATTTTGTAAGTTTGAGAGCATGCTGCGCTCAGGTCATCCGTTAATCTGTTTCTTGTGTCTGATTTTATATAATTTAAAGCTGAAAACAGCTGCTCACAAGCATATGATGCTCCAAACAAAGAAAGCAATCCCAAGTTTTTTCATTGATTTAAAATTATTTGGCAGACAATTCCACACTTTAAGGATTTCATTTTCAGAACTAACTGTGCTGTCATTTGCCATCCTTTCTATATTCTCAAGCATTTCACGCAGCTCACAGAATTTATTTTTCCACATGGAGCTTTCTTGGAATTCTAATAGCTCCATTTCTAGATTTTCTAAATTTAACCAGTGTAAGCAGGAAAGATTAAGTTCTTCGCTTTATCTGGAGAGGTAAGAAAACAGAGTTGTTTCCATCTTACGGAACTGTAAAAACCTGTTACTAAAATTCACCTTTGCAGCTGCTACAATGCTAGAAAATTCCTTGTAGATTTCCTGATGCCTTATAGGATTGTCTGCAAATGTTGTAGAATTTTCTAAATGCATTTTTAGATTTGGAAAATATTTCAGCTGCCCACTTTCAAGGTCTCTTTCAAAAACCTGCAGTTTTCTCTCAAATGTTTTGATATCACAAAACATCCTTTCTGCTGTTTTCCCTAAACCTTGTAGTTGTTTGTAGTTGTTTGTACACTGAAGTGTACTGTAAAATCAGAAAAAAAAAAAACATGAGCCAGGTCATATCAGTGAGCTGTGGATATTCCTGCCCTTTTTCATTCATAAACAGCCTGATTTCATCCAAGCAGGCTACAAATCTCTCCAGGACTCATCTGACATTATACATCAGTAAACAATTATACTGTGCCTGAACCTCCTCAAGAAGTGCTTTAAACTGACAAAAATTCAGAGTGTGAGCCATGATGTAATTCACCATTTTTGTAACAACTTTGAGTACATCTTCAAGTTTTTTGCTGCTTTCCCTGACACAAAGAGCTTCTTGATGTATAATACAGTGAAACTGAATGACTTCATGCTTTGTTTCTTTTACAAACAACTGTATGAAACCAGATGTTGCCCCCACCATAGAAGGTGCCCCATCACTGGTAATTGAAACCACTTTTTCTGGTTTTATGTCTTGTGACAAAAAAGCCTCCATCACAGCATTGTAGATATCTATCCCTTGTGTTCTTTGAGGCAAAGACACCAGTTTCACCAGCTCTTCTCTCATGTCACCAACAGCATAACGAAAAACTACTGCTAGCCTTGCATGATTATTTACATCTGTGCTTTCATCTGAGCACATGGAGTAATAGGCTGCCTTTTTAAGTCAGTGGTGAGCTGCTGACTAACATCACTTGCCATGCACTGGACTCTGTCTTTAACAGTATTTCTGCTAAGTGGCACCTCAGATGCATTTAATAATTTTATCTGTTTGGGAAATCATGAAAAAGGGAATTACTGCCAGACAACATGGCCGTTTTGATAATATCCCCATCTGAAAGGGGCTTACCATGTTTTGCTATGCACAGTGAAATTTGAAAACTGGCAGCTGTCAGATGATTTGTTCTGGAAAGATAGTTGGAAAAACTAAGAGACTGGGAATGATAATTCTTCAATTTCCCTTCAATAAACTGTTTTCTTTCAGTTGCAACAAGTTCAGCAACACTTTTGTGGTTGGTCTCAAAGTGCCGTCTGACACTTGATGTGCAACACACAACACCTTCATTACATAGAATACATAACGCTTTCCCACTGCATTCAATCACTCCAAATGACTCTGTCCAGACCTCTTGGAATGATCTTCCACTATCTGTTTTTGCTTTTTTTGCTGCACTCATTTTTGGGTATTCAAGACTGTCTTGGAGTCTACAAAAATACAAAATTCTGGAATTAAAGCTCCATTTTTTAGCTAAAACTTAATTCACACCTGTTAGTTTTACTTTAAACAAATAGCTTTGAGTAGTGTGAACGATTGACAGCGTGAGCCTCCAAAGGTCTGAAAAATATATCATTGATTTTTTTTTTTTGGCATTTAAACTAGATATCCAATGTAAAAAAGTGCATCAAGGAGAGACTGGAAAGCCGATTCATGCTGAACTGTATTCGGTTTTTTGTTGTTATTTGAATAAAATGAAAAGAAAGCAAACCAGTATTTGTACCTAGTGTGGGGAAAGAGATGAAATCTACTTAACTGTAGAGAATACCCCATTCCATCTCTTTTCCCACACTAGGTACAAATACTGGATTACTTTCTTTTCATTTTATTCAAATAACAACAAAAAGAGACCCCCTCTCCCCTTTCAGGCAGGGTAAAGTGAGGAGGGGGCTCTTGCTTAGATAACTCCTCTTTCCCATAATAAGCAACATCTTATCTCTCCCTCTCCCTCTCCCTCTCTCTCTCTCTCTCCCTTTCTCTTTCTCTCTTTCTCCCTCTTGTTCATCTCTCTCTTGCACCCTTCTCTCTCTTTCTCCCTCTTTCTTTCATATCCCTTTCTCTCTCTTTCTCCCTCTCTTTCACCCTCTCTTTCTCCCTCTTTATTTCCTCTCTCTCTTTCTTCCATTTTTTAAATCTCCCTTTCTCTCTCTTTCTCTCTCTCTCTCTCTCTCCCAGTTCTCTCGCTACACTGTTTCCTGGAGATGAACTGAGGGAGGAGAAGGGTGAAGCTTTCTGTAGCCCTCCCCACACGGCTTCTGAAGTGACACCTGTGACAGAGGGAGACCGAGAGCAGGAAGCTGAGCTTTGGATTGCGGCAGGCGTTAAAATACCCACCTGCAGTGCTTCCTTAGCCACGACTGCTGGGCGAGAGAAAAGATGTCAGGCTGCACCCCCACAAAGGGGAACAGCAGCGATCGCAGACAGCCCCAGCTGGCTGGGAAGGGGGACACTTCTCCTGTCTCCCCAACCTTTCCCCCAGCTGCTGTCTCCTTGCTTTTCCCCTCGGCTGCAGGGCTAGCCAATCGCTGCAAGAATGCAGCTCCTCCTGTACATGGAGAAGAGGTGCTGAGAGATGAGGCGGGAGGGTAGAAGGGGCTTTCAGAGGGTAAAGGGGATTAAATTGTAACCTTTCCCCATGCTCAAGGGGAGCCACTTCAGGTTACTATGGCTTTCTTTCCTGCTTAGAAATAGAAGTCTGGCTGATCGGGATTTTGTTTTTCTTGGTCTCGGAGCTAAGCTAAACAAGAGCTTTAAACGAGACACGGGGGAGGGCAGGGGCGGGGTCAAGGAGGGCAGGGGTGATTTTTTCCCTGCAGTCTGCCTAGCAAACCTGCATCGTGGCTCCTGCCTCCGCACATCGAGGAGGCTGAGCAGCAGCAGGAAGAGAGTGGAACTCCTGAGTTGCAGGAAGCAACTGCAAGCGATGCCCTCAGATGCCAAAGATGTTGCGAGTGGGAGGCTCGACCTCCCCAGGAGCCATAAAAGGGAGGGCGCGATCTCCCGCGCTCCCCCCACCCACCCTAGGAGCCACAAAGCGCTCACTGCCCCTCTGCCCCTCGCCAAGCTGCCTCCTTCCTGCTGGGTGTGCGAGCACTTCTGGTGAGGAAAAGAAGCGCAGTGGGACGAGGCTTAGCAGGTGCCAGAGGGGAGGCCAGCACTTTGAGGCTCCTGGGGTGGGTGAGGGGAGCGCGGGAGATCGCGGCCTCCCCTCGCAGGCCAGGGAACACCTGGGAAGGGCTCCGATGCTGCGATCTCCCACACGGTACCCTCCCTCCCCATTTATCACCAGTTACCAACACAGGTGCACTGTGGACCACCAGCCTTTCCTGGTGGCAGTGGCATGAGCGGGCAAGGGGTGGAGGGATACCCACTCCTCTGCCTGAATCGCGCTCCGGGCAGCGTCCAGCCAGCCATGCCTGCCCTCCCTCCCCCCACTCCAGCTCACGTGGATCCCAGGCCTTTCCTGCGGCATTGTTAAAAGCCACCGGGGATGCGAGGTGGGCACAGGGGAGCGACTGGTGGCAGCACTCCTGACTAGCAAGGGGGCGGATGCAGGCACTGACAGCAAGCGGGCCAGGAGCGGGAGCAGCTGGACCTGGGCCGCGGCAAGCAAGCGAGGGGAGGAGGGGTCACAAAGTCAGCAACTTACCAAAAATTATGCAGTCAAGCGAGGAGTCAGGGCAAGCAGGCAGGCAAGCAGGCAAGCAAGCAAACAGCAACGACAACAACCAAGGAGCAGGAACCAGAGAGCAGCCAAAGAACCATTAGGCAAAAAGTTAAGGTTTTTGCAAATAGGATGGGGAGGGCAGTGTGATCTACAGACCCGAAAATCAGCTGGGAGGTGCACATGCACGGTGGAGCTGAATTGGGCTGACCACTCATGTGCCCGCAGAGGGCTCTGCGTGCCACCGGTTCGCCATCACAGACCTAGGTCATGTATATTCATCACTAAGTACGTTCGATGCCAGATATTAATCAGTAAGGAGAAGAGTGTTTGATTATCAATAATGATAACATTCCAGGGTTTTCAAACAAATTAATAAAGCTGTTTCAATCACATAGAACATGGGTGTCAAACTCAATCGCGTCATGGGACATATCATGATGTATCGCGATGTTTTTTGCCTTTGTGGAGCTGGGTGCCGGGTGGGCATGGCCTACACATGATATATCCAGCCTATGGGCTGCCAATTTGACAGGCCTACATAGAACATACCATGTTTTCCCGAAAATAAGCCCTAGCCTGTACCACGTGACGTGTGCGGGGGTGCATGTGTGTGACTGGCATCAGAAAAGAAGCTCCAAGTATCCACCTCCTTTCATCCCGAGTTGGAAGAGCCGCAGTGAGGGACTGCTGGTCAGTTTGCTGCCCAAACACCTTCACCGGCTTCTCCCCTTCAGTCATGCCACCCGTTCCAGGAGTGTGTGGGAGCCGGCCAAAAAGCCTCGCCTTCGGCACATTCGCAACAACATACCCTGGCCGCCTTCAGTGTCTACCTCACCTGTGGCTGCTCTGCCCAGCCCACTGTTGTAGTTGGAAGTTTGACCACGCTGGCCAAAAAGCCCCACCTTTGGCACACTTGCACTGACATGCATGCACTGCTCTTTTGTGCAGTGTCTATTGTGAAGCTTTGTGCTGAGGAAGGTCCACGCTTTCTCGTTCCCTTCTTCCCTACCCCTCCTCCAGCTGTTTTACATACAACCATCCGCCAGGGCTGGGGGCTCCCTCGTGGGGCATGATTGAACTTCAAACCCCAACAGCTCGCTGGGCGGAAGGCGAGGCAGCGGCAGAGCAGACTACCTCACCTGTGGCTGCCTCGCCTTTGCCCAGCCTGCTCCACGCACAGCCAGTACAGTGCCCACCGCAAGCCAGAAGTGTCCCAGCAGGACCAGCAGGTAGGGCGTGCGGAGGCTGGGACACATTGAGAGCTTGGCCAGCGGGTGCCACGAGAGCAGCAGCAGGGTGGTGGCCAGAGCAGAGGTCAGAAAGGGCAGGTTACACATCAGCATGGATAGCACGGGGAGCTGTTCCTGCTGCCGCCTGTTGGCCTGGCTGAAAAGCAGCCCAGCCTCCACTCAGCAGCAGCAGGTGCAGCAGGCAGGGCAGGCAGAGGCCAGGACATGCCAAGAGCTTGGCCCGTTGCGCCATGGGCAAGCAGACAGTGGGATGGAGAGGGCGGGGCCGGCGGTAGCAGCACTCCCACTCCCATCAGCCCCCACGCTCGCCGCCTCCTGTATTGAAAAAAATAAGACACCCCTGAAAATAAGCCTGAGTGCTTATTTCAGAGGTCAAAAGAAAATACGACCAGGTCTTATTTTCAGGGAAACACGGTAGAACAAGAGTTGGAAGAGACCTTGTAGGTCATCGTGTAGGTCAGTGGTCGCCAACCAGTGGGCCGGGGACCATTGGTGGTCCACGAGAAAATTTTGGTGGTCCACAGAGAAATGTCACCCCCAAAGTAATTAATCCAGGCTGCGCAGGAACACAAGGTTGTGCTGCCCACATAGCCCACGGGAACACAAGGCTTGTGTCGCTTGCGTTGCCAACAACACAAGGTAGTGAGGGGAGTGGGGAAAGGGTGGAGGGGGGGAACTTGCCCCACTCGCCCCACGCACTTGGCCTGGCCACCGGGCTGCTTCTTTCCACTTCTTTCTTCTTCTGCTTTTGGCTGCACACAAGGAAAGCAGCAAAAGTCTTTCTCTTCCCCAAACACTGCCAGAAATGAGTCTTTGGGACCCTGCAAGGCATCCTGCTCCAAGAGGCTGCGCCAGCATGACAAGTCTCACAAAGACTCATTTCTGGTGGAGTTTGGGGGAGAGAAAGACTTCTGCTGCTTCTGCTGCTTTTCGTGCATGAAGCCGAAAGTCTCTCTCTCTCTCTCTCCCCCTCCCCAAGAATGGAGCTGGAGACGGTATCCTGCGATCCCAAATAAAGAATGATCGGGGTGGGGAATTTTCCTGCAGACTTTTTTTGGGATTTCCCCAGGGTCTCTGGTCCACGGGATTTAAAATTATGAGTTTGGTGGTCCCTGAGGTCCAAAAGGTTGGCGACCCCTGGTGTAGGTCACATATAAGGTAAAGATACAGCAGAAGACTGCAATAGTCCTGCTGGCTAAGTAAACAGAAGTTTAAAGATGAGGAGAAAACTAGAAATATAATTGTAAAGCAGTTTGTTAGGGTTTCAATCCCATATTTTATAAAAAAGATGTGGTAAACAAAAAATTAACTTCAAAAACAACCTAATGTTGTATTACATTTCTCTGCTGTTCCTTTCTTTTAGTGTCCTGAAGCTTTATTAAATACTTCATTTCCCAACACACCCAATATGCAGAGGCAAAATAGTTGGCAAGACTAGAAAGGATACAGTACGTAACTGACAGGACATACTGCCTAATTGCAATTTCAGCATGTCCTCATATAGCTCTGACATAACTACTTTCATTTTGATGATCCTTGAACACACTTTCCTAACAAATTTAGTTTCAGCAAAATAACTGAATCACCATTCATTTCCAATGATAATTAGCTCCACTTGCCAATATTACAAAAATTATTTTTTGGTCTCTAGTCATCTGGATTATTAGACAATATTATTATTCTGGTCTCAAAGAATGTAAAAAATCTGTTTCTCTAAATTTAGTTTTCAGAAAAATCACTATTCTGCATAATTCCGAATGGCAAAAGAATCCATGTTTCTGAGGTTTTGCTTAAGATTCTCTACTCAGTATAAAAGTATCTTGAGGATCCGTACCTGCGCCTCCTGCGATCTCGTGAAACACTGCGCTGATCCCTGTTGCGCCTGTCACGGCTACGACTGCGACGTTTCCTGTCACGACTCCGTGAACGACTGTGGCTGCGTTTACGATGACGATTCTCTTTATCACGTTCTAAAGCCAACAGGATAGAACACCGTGAACCATCCAACTGTTGCTTCAGAACAGAGAACATCTCTGGTTGCCACAAACAATTTCATTTCCCTAAAACAGTGAGCTGGTGGGGGGTTTTTTGGCTTTAAAAAAGAGAACACTGAGGAAAAGAAACATTGCCAAGAAGAAACCGATACCATGATTGCATCGTATCTGTTGTATAACCATCTAGAATTATCTTAATTGCCCCTGAAAAATGGCAACAACAAATGGATCAAAAGGGAGAAATAGAGACAAAATAATTGTTTTAGAATTTCTCAACATTAATATGGCACACAACTATCTCAAAGTTTTCTCCAAATCTAGCAAGCAGAATGTTTGTATAGCCTAATTTGAAAACCCTTGATGCATACCTTGAGACACAAAATTATTTTCCATGAGATTTTTGCAATATTCCCAAGAAGCAAAAAATGAGATAAACTAAAATGGGTCATTCCATGTCAAGTGGTCTGATTTCAGAAAAGTGAACCACCATGAACCAATGCAATATTATAATAGTAATGATGTCTATATAAAACAAACAAGACAAAAAATAACAGAATGCATGTGACATTGGCATAGCAACAGGAGTGGGATTCTACTGGTTCTATCCGGTTCTATAGAACCCCTTATTAACTTTCTACGTGTTTGTTTTTTTCCACCCTTATTACATTCTTGGCAGACAGCCAAGACTTGCTGTCTCCGGAGCTTCTGAGGCTTGGCTTTCTTAAAGGGGAAGGGTTGTTTTAAGATTTTTACACGGCTATTGGGAGGAAATACCTCCCTGGACAATCAGCACTTTGAAGAAATCATTGAAGAATGAAGCAAAGTTTTTAGTGACAGGGAATCAAGATGAGTGACATTCAGCAAGGCTTCTTGGCTAGCTAGAAGGATTGACATTCAAACGTGAGTTTACATACCCTTTCTGAGTTTTGGTCTAAAACTGGTTTTGGGTGAAGCTTAATTCTGTGCTTGGTGAAGTTTAATCCTGTGTTTATTGATGGGTTAATTTTCCCTATTCAGCTTCAACAAGCAACAGCTACTGTTGTGATTTAATTATTTGTATTATGTTTGAATTTTTTCTTGCCTCATGGTTTCTTTTTCTATTTGGGGAGGGGGTCTTCCTTCACTGTTTTAATACTATCTGGCACTGTCCTTTTGAGGTATTGTTAGTGTTTGGGGATTAACCCCTAGCAGAGTATTGCAGCAGTAGTCAAGCCAGGCAGCCAAACGAGAGTGGAAGGGCCCCAGAGTATACACACACTGAACACAAACACTGTTTGTAGTTTAAATAGTTTTTAATCTATTTAGAGTTTAAAGCATTGTCATTCAGTCCATTAAGTCATTCACAGTATTTCCATCCAGTAAGACTCACTAGTATAGCCCAAGTTAAGAGTCCTTGCAATATCTTTATCAGCCGATAAAGATATCTTCTCCTCCTCCGGTGCCTCTCTCCAGAGGAACAAACGCTGGATATTCAGCAAGAAGTTCAAACAGTATAACAGTAGAATTACGCAGTAAATCAGCAAACAGTAGCAAACAAGAACAGTTCAGTCACAGGCACTCACAATTAGTCGCAGTAAGACACAGTTAGTCGCAGTAAGCTTTCCAGCTTCTAATGCTTCCTTATATTGTAACTTCTAACCGCACCCTTAATCGGCTAATTGCCTGCAGCATTGTGCTTAAAGTGATAAGCACTTAAACCATGATATCTAAGTTTTATATATTTATTCACCCAAACCATATTTGGTATCAATGTTATACCTAACATACTCCCCTTTTGGGTAAAATAAATATATAATACCTTTACAATCTAACCCCATAGTTTTCACAACTCTCCTGGTGCTTACTGGCACCTTGGGCTTTAGTAAAATTATCAGCTAAATTGTCCTCCGACATACAGTACTCTAGCTGAATCATCTTACTTCTTACAGATTGCCTCACGTTTAGGTATCTTAGATCTGTATGTTTGCTCCTTGTTTTTACTCCAATATTTGTGGCCATTTGAATTGCTGCCTGATTATTTTCATGTATAATTATAGGATAATCCACAGTTATACCTATATCAATTAACATTTGTTTATACATTATTAATTCTGTACATAACAGAGATAAACAGGAGAATTCTGCCTCCATAGTAGACAAACTTATATGCTGTTGTCTTATTGACTTCCAGCCTATTAATGTCTTACCCAGCATTATGGCTGTTCCTGAAGTCGACTTTCTAGTGTCTCTTTCTGATGCAAAGCTAGCATCTGCATAAGCACTCAGAATTAAATCACCCTTTGGTTCTAAATACAATGAATAATTCATTGTCTTTTTAAGATATCTTAATATCCTCTTAGCTGCATTCCAGTGTCTTTCACATGGTGCAGAATTGAATCTAGCCAACTGATTCACGCAGTACGAAATATCTGGTCTAGACCAATTACTAATATAACTCAAACTACCAATTAAAGATTGATAAATCACCTTATCAAACTCCGGGCTTTGTTCATCAGTGTTGCTAAACTCCTGACTCATTGGAGTCTTAGCCGGCTTACAAAGCTCCATCTTATAATCTTTTAGCAATTTGCTTATCTTATCTTCCTGAGATATCTTAAAACCTTTCCGTGTTTTCTTTATATTTAAACCGAGATATTTCTTTATCTCCCCTAATTGCTTGATCTTTATTCTCTTTCCTAATGATGCTATTATTTTATTTGCTTCATCATTAGTTTCAGTTATCAATGCAATGTCATCTGTGAATAGTAATAATAATGATACTTTCCCATTTGTCTCCCTCTTAAACAGACATGGATCAGCTAAACCAGCTTTACATCCTATATTGTCTAGTTCCTTTACAATATACTGGTTCCATTCATAGCCTGATTGTTTAAGACCATAGAGGCTTTTCTTTAACAACCAACAATCATTATTATTCTTATTTTCACTTTTAATACCAACAGGTTTTTTCATATAAATAGTATATTTTAATGGGGCGTGCAAGTAAGCAGTTTCCACATCTAGATGGTTAACTATATAGTTTTTACTAGCTGCCCACACTAAAGCTGCCCTCAAGGTTGCTGCCTTAAGACTAGGTGCAAACACCTCATCGTAGTCATTGGCATTCTGCCTAAAACCTTGGGCTACTAACCTTGCCTTATGGATTAAATTACCATCTTTATCTGTTTTTACCTTAAATATCCATTTGCAGCCAATGGACTTCTTACCTACAGGTAATTTGGCATTCTCATACACTTTCATATCTCTTAATGAATTCAGTTCCTTATTCATTGCTGCATACCAACTTTCTTTTTCCTTAGTAGGATACTTTTTAATTTCTTCAACAGAATTAGGAACTTGATTAATCTGGCACACTGTGTTAGCCTGGTACCTATCAGGCGGTCTAGATACACGTGTAGTTCTTCTGGGAATTACAGGGCTTACAGGAGGACTTTGTTGAACTACTACCTGTTCATCTTCCTCATCCTGTTCAGCTATTGAATCTGTTTCTTCCTTTATGGGCACTATTTCATCCTGTATTTGTCTCTTTACTTTATTTTTAAAGTTACAGGGATAACTAATGGGATTTCTATAGGATTCAATAATTACATCTTTATTGGCATCCTGTTCTAATTTCTCCCATCCTTCATGTTCTAGAAATTGGGCACTGGCACTACATAACACTTTAGATGTGCCTTTCTCCCAAAATCTATATGCCCTATGGTTTGCCTGATAACCAACGAAGAAAAATCTTTTAGCTCTATGTTGCCCTTTTTTTCTGAGTTGTGCAGGAATATGCACCCATGCTGGTGCACCAAATGTGTGCAGGTAACTTAGGTCAGGTTTCCTGCCATGCCACCTGGTAAATGGTATTTCACCTGTTGTTGTATTAACAACGTTGTTCAATATGTTATTAGCACACATTGTAGCCTCCCCCCACAAAGAATCAGGTAACCCAGAATCATTTAACATTGTTCTAACCATTGCCTGTAGTGTTTGGCCTCTTCTTTCAATAAAAGCGTTATGTTCTGGCCTGTATGGAGCAGACTTCTTATGCTCTATTCCAGCTACCTTAAGTCTGTTCTGGAATTTGTTATTAATAAATTCCGTACCATTATCTGTCACCAGGGTTATCAGTTGTCGTTTAGACTTTCTTTCAGCAAACCTAATCCAATTGAAAAAATGTTGATATGTTTCAGTTTTGCTTTTCATTAAATAGCAAAACCCATATCTAGAATAATGGTCCATAATGTTCAGTATATATCTAGCACCCCCCATACTGGGTTTCTTTGGACCTATGATGTCTGCAAATACTACTTCTAAAGGTTCTTTTGTTTTGAAACCATTTAGCCTATTTGCAGGCAATACTTTGCTCTTATCTTCACAGCAAACATTACAACGCAAATATTTATCACAAGGTTTTAACCTTATTCCTTCAGATAACTCAACTGTACGTTTTAGCATTTTAAAATTTACATGCCCCAAACGCCTATGCAATAAATGGATACATTCATTATGAGGTTTTATATTATTAAATACAGTATGTACCTCCCCTTTCTTACTATTATCTAAGACATATAATGTTCCATTTAAAGCTGCAGTTACCCTTTTGTTATCTTTTTCAATTATGCAATTATTATCTTTAAAAATAATTACATAACCTAATTTATCTAATACCCTTACTGAAAGCAAATTAAACTTTAGTTGCGGTACATACAACATTTTTATATCCTGGTTTATGCACGGACAATGTGCAAAACCTTCACCTTTCGCTTTAAGATTCCAACCGTTTGCAAG